TTATTAATTAATTAATTAATTAATCTATTTATTTGTTTATTTATTTATTTGTTTAAAAGGTTACTATGACTACTTAATACAATAACTTTCACTTGAATTAAATAATTAAGAATAGTAGATAAACTTAACTTACTTACCTTGTTACAAATACAGAGCATGAATTTGAGAGAGGCATTAAACGGCACATCAAAGCACCAAATGTCCAATTCTTTGTCAACGCATACCATGGTGTTACAGGTATTGCGGTAACACAAAGTAATAAATCAGTTATAATTAAATTGAGCAAAAAAATATTTCGAGCTGAACGAAGTCGTCGATTTTTCGTAAATGCAATTAAAACACCGCCATTACCAGTAATACCAATAAACATGAGAAGACCGTAAAGGAACGAAAAAAGTACCTCAATTGTTAGCCATCTGTAATAATTAATTAATTAATTATCCCCTTTTTTGAAAAAAATAAAGTCAATTAATTAATTAAAAAGATTGAAGCAATTAATTTAAGTCCAATAATCTTTTCAATCGTTCTTTTTTTTTGAACTAAAATAATTGATTAATTTTTCATTATTTCAATTTTGTTGAAGGAAGTAAAAAAAAAAAAACAGAAAAAGAAAAAAGAAAGTAACAAATAGTATCAATAAATGAATTCATAAGTGTATGGTAAAAGAAAAGAATGAGAGAAAAAAGTTTAATTATTCTTAGGGAAATTTGAATTCAAACTTGTCACAGGTGTTCATTACAACAATTTCCTAATAGAACACAAAGGAAGGAATATATGAAAATAATTTCGTTTTTTTTTCAAATTTATTAGAAGTGATTTGAATTTATTTCAAATATTACTTCTTTCATTTTTTTTCTCCAGGAAATTGCACTTTTCACATATAGGATGAATACCAAAATATAATTTCTAAATTTCGCATTTCGATTAATTAATCTAATCAATTGACCAATCTAATTAATCTAACCAATAGATTACAATTACTTATCACCTTATCAATTATACATCCATAGTTGAATATCATTATTATTGCCATTTAGTTTGCAATACAAAAAAATTGTATTAATTTTAAAAGAAAAACTTTTAATGCAAATAGAATAATATTATTTAGGTGCAGAATTGTTATCTGATAATTCAGTGTTGCTTATCTGATTACGAACAAATTACTTATCAATTATCAATTAGAATGGTGGAGAAAATGCATTAAATTATTGCATTTTACATTTTCTTTTGATAATGTTTTTACTCATTAGATATGAATTTGTTTAATGAAATAAACTAAATCATAAAATTGTCTTTTTTCCTAATAAATGACATTAAAAGAAAAAAAGAGAAAGACTGAGAGATTTTAAATAATTTTTAATCTTTGCTCTTCTTTTATTATCTTATCATCATTATTATGAAAAATAAAATGATTGATAATGATGATGATGATAATACATGCTTCATCTTCTTCTTTTAACATATGAAACATTTTTTAAATGAAAAAAGAAAAAGATGAGTTATGATGAATCATCTTGTCAAATTTTTTCCATCAATCATTTATATGAACT